CTACGTTTTCGCTTGATATGCAAATAGTTTCCGAGGTTAATGTTCAATATCAAATATACAAATGATGGTGGCGATTTATTGTGCTGTGGAAGAGCTTGGGGTTAAATCCATGATTTTCTGCTCAGTAAGCAAAATCGATCCCTCGAGGGTCATCGAGCATCTTATAATCCACAGCGCTTTGAATAACTATTATTAACGATAATTACATGAAATAAATAAAATATAAACTACAAACAAAACGTGACTGCTAAAATCTCAAAAAGATATTCTCACAAATATATTTCACGCCACCAGGAATCTCAAAACCATTAGACGTTATAATGATACTCTGCACATATTAGACACAAGAAGAGGCCAAAAAGCAAGCGTCCGACACACAAAACCCGTCAAATCCACAATCAACGATTCTACGAATCGCGAGCGCTCACGAATCATAAAACCGCTGACTGCGACACTCTGAAAGCGAAATTGACAGGATCTATGCGTCAAACACCCGCCCTCCAATCTCCACCCGCATCCAACAGCACAAATCTCCATTACAACATCTAACGAATTCAAAACTCCGAAAATCACTCATCTATAGCAAGTGAGTGGAAGCAACCCTGCATGCAACCATTCTTAATGATACACTTGTTCTGCCTATCTTTCTATTAGGCCTGTGGACATGCGTTAGCTTCGAAACTTCTAACCAAACTGGGTAAATTTTCAGATCACAAAAAAAAAAAAAAAAAAAAAAAAAAAAACTTGAAAAAAAACTTTCAAAGGTAATTACAAGTAAGATAAATATTGATTATTTTACGCGAAAACGAGCAAGTAATATTAAATCTCTTGTATCATATGCTAATGCAAATTGACTGTAACAAAAATAATATGCTTAAATAAAATAAAATATTAATAAAATTATATGCAAAATTTACAAGAAGATCATTACTTTATTGGTGAGAAGTTTTTAATAAGCCCTCCCAGTTCCTCTGTATACAGAACAAATCTGATACTATAATCAGAATTGCTCAGTCTGCATAATGCAGCCGATTGCATCAAGGAAGTTCTATTAACAACCAAGAATTAATCGTTTGAGGTATACTGAAGCATTAAGAAGGTGATATGTGTCACTATAGGAAATCATCATCGTTGCAAATATAAAGAAATTAAACATAACCCTTTGCTTCAGTACCGTCAACCTCCATGTCCATGGGGAGGGTATTTCTTACCAATTAAATCAGCAACACATAAACAACATATGCTTTTGGTCATATCGCCAGCTTAAAACGAATCCTACCCAACTTTCCAACTCCGTAGCACTTATGAGAGTGTCGCTAAGTCGGTGGCCTCTCGTTGAGTAAGTACCTACTGCATCAACATTTCCTTCCCTATCCCTAGCTACGGTAAAGATGGGCGTGGCTGAGAATAGCATCAGTCATGCTTTTGGTATTCATGTTTAAACTGGACTCATTGTTTACTTTCCAACAATATTCCAAACAGTAGTCTGACTGAGAATTTCAAATGAGACGTGAGTGTCACTAGTATCCAATCTACCAAGTATACCGTACACACTTAGAAAAAGTCACCGACTTCGGCAATTCAGCTGAACGGTCGGTAATGGTTTCGGTAATCGAGAACATTACCGAAAAATATGTAAACTGGATCAGCAAAATTAGCTGTCAAATTTACCGAACGACCGGTAACGTTTACCGATGTGCATTGCTTGATTTGTAGTCGACTTTACCGGAGAACTGTAATTTTGAGGACAATATGCAAATCGAAAATTACCGAGAGGTCTGTAATTTTTTAAAACGGTATCCGACTCAACTGCAATTTGCTTTAATATTGTTTCAAGGTGGCGGTCACTGCCACGCATGCAAAAATTTGGCTGCAGTCGTGATCAATGTGTTCAAACCCAAGCTCCTTTGCGCTATTGAATCGTTAGGACATTAATTTAGCATATCGGTTACCAAAACGAATCCTAATGAAATCCCAATCCTCATATCCCACATCCCAGTGATTTCTCGTGAAAGTGTAGAGGTGTTCTCGATTTTCATTTAAGCGAGTATTCGGTCAACATATTCCTACCCATTCCTTTCTTTACCAGCATTCGGACGTGGTCGGTGCTAGTATTGGCTAGTTTTAAATCACCAGTATTTACACATTGAAGATCATTGCTAGTCCCAAGCAACGTTCATTGATTCTCTTCACCGAGAAGCTCAACCTCATCCTCGCACCGGTATACAATACCTACGTACGCATCGTATCCGGCCTTCTCCCTTCCACGCCTGCAGACGCCGCATGTGTGGAAATCGGATCCTCCCTTTCGATCTGCTGCAGCCATTGCTACGAAAGCCGCTGCCCTCGCTGCTTAGACATCCGGGAACGAAAGGGTCTTTCTCCTCAACGAGGGGAACAGAGCCCTCCGCACTGCAGCCAACCGTAACTTCCCCCCTGTGGCCAGGGTCCACTGGCATGGAGAGAAGAGTTGGCGATCAACCGTCGTCAAAATAGATAAGCGGATTAACAGTGGATTCCAAACCGGAGATAACTTTGTAGCTTTGAAACGTTCTGTTGCAGAGCTTCTCGGGTCGGTTTATCCGAGGCACGTTGGACTCGGAGTGGCAGTCTACCGGAGGAGCGCTGAAGCCGCAGCTATTCTAGACGCAGCCATCACTCCGGCAGATCAACCGATCCTCGTGTTTATTGACTCACACAGCGTCATCCAAGCGCTGAAAGCCGAGGGCCCGAGCCACTCCTGGATACAAGCCATTACACGGTACGCCCCACCTTCGACCCTCTTTACGGATCTGGTGCATCCCGTCCCCACTACACCAGGAACGTACCCCTCCTAGACGTCAGACGTTGGATTGTGAATACTACTATGAAAGCCTAACAGCAGGAATGGTTCCAGTCGCAGACCACTTTTCTGAAGAAGATCAAGGAAACCGTACGCCCCTGGCTGGAGCCAAAAGTACAAGGACCAGCGGATCATCTCAAGACTCCGGACCGGCCATGCGAGGATTTCCTGTAATTTCGGTGGGAAAACTTTTCTTCAAGGTTTGTTCAATTTGCAGCATCCCCGCCGCGGTGAAACAAGTGCTGTGTGTCTGCCCGGAGGTCCAGAAGATACGCAAACAACACGGACTCCCGGAGAATGTCAGGAATCTGCTTGGTTACGACCCCTCGACATTGGCTGCGCTGATCGCCTTTCTGAAGGACGCCAACTTGTATAATCAAATCTAGCCCCCCGTCGGTGGCTGCACTGATCGTGTTTTCCTCACCTTTCTATTTTTTCTGTCATCGGGGCACTGTCTCCTACGGTGGAGTTCTACCTTGTTCGCGCACTCAGTCCTCACCGCAGCCCCGATGTAATCCTCACTATACATTAAGTTTTTTAAATGTTTTCTGTCGTTGGGTAATCAGAGCCAGTTAAAAGTCAAGTTAATGTCAAATTGAAACCTTTTTTTTTAAGATTCCAAACAACTGTAAAAGCGGACGTTTCATAGAAGTATTCCTATAGCTTTAGGGGTTTCTCCAAAGCACTTATAGAAGGCTCATAAGAATGACTTCGAACTTGGGACCGGAAAATGGACACTGGAAGCCATAGAAAGATCTACCGAAAGATCCGGAATAACCAAAAAAGTGGTCAATTCGTGAATATGGTCCAAGAACTTCGACCCGGAACAACCGTGAAAGGCATCTATAATTGAAACTAGCTCTAGAGATCTTCGTTTTTTTTTTTTCGAAAGCGCTTAAATAAGTTGTATTACATGACTTCAGAATTTTGAACAAAACATTAACACTGAGGAGCCACAGGGCTACTTTCCGGAAGATCAGGAACAACCGTAAAAGTGGTATATCAATGAAACTGGTAATAGAGCTGTGCGATTTTTTTCGAAACCACTTACAAAAGGACTCATTACAATAAATTTTGAGTTTTGAGGTATTATCGGTGGATAGATTGGTACAGAGTATGACGAGCGGCCCCCGATTGGAGTCGGAGATATTGAGGGGTGGTAGCCATAATTGAGGTAGTTTGGTTGAGGGTCTATATTTATTACACTACACACTCAATTGTTATCGCTGCGTAGCTATATTTCTGATCGATTGGTGATAAAATTATTGAAATTGGACCAGAGGCAGCTGAGTTATTAACGTTCAAAATCTTTCTTAATTTGTTACATGGTCCATTTTCGGTTTTCACAAAGTGTACCCCCACATAGAAATCAAAGACGTAGTCCTACGTCAAAAACTTCATCATTCGAAGGAATAAAAATAGGCTTCAGACCGGACTTGAATCATGAACCTTACGATAGTTAGATCTGCGCTTTATCTGTGCTACGACAAATGGTAAGGCTAAAGGCAAATAAGAAGCAATCATGGAGCGGTAGTTCGATTTCGTTTGCTTTTTCTGCTGCTTGCATGTATTTCTTTTCTCTGACATAAAACCACCACGACCAGTAATTTGGTTTATTGTGGTAGCTTGCATGAATTGGTCAAACCGACAATATTTCATGAAAAAAAGAAGTGCAGTTGTTGGGTTTTACCATTTATGAAAGATGTGTTCATTTTACGAAACGGTTTTCAGAGAAGTAACGAAAATACAGCAGTTTTGGCGTGACTTTTTACCACCGATTTCACAGAATTGGACCAACTAATTTCTATATTTTTTTTTTTTTTTTTCATGAAACGCACAAATGTTGGTTATATTTCTCGTGGTTCTAGAAGAAAGAATCTCAAAATAATGTTTTATTTCATAGTTCGAGTGGTAGTAAACGTCATTTTACCTGCTCGAATCAAGTGGTTAATTTACATTTTATAATTGCTTCAATAGAACAAAACATTATTTTCTATCGAAGTTTAATTTTAAACGTGATTTTTGTTTGAATTTTCTTATTATAAGTATTTTTTTCTCCTTATAATTTTATCAACCATTCGTCATGTTTTCAAACGTCCATTAACAATGTTGAAATCGTTCATTATTAATGTACGTTCTCCAATTCGTTTCGTTCCAGGATCTAAGGTTACGTGAAAATGATTACATAAGAGTACATTACAGTAAGCCAAAGAAAAGAATGCAAGGAGAACAATTCCTTAACAATCGGACACATGCCAGATTAAGGAGGACAACATCGAACCAGCGGCGGCGGCACTGGTTGAACGCTGTATCGTAGCTGAACCGGATAAGGTTAGGAGCTCTAAATATTAAATGTATAGTCACGACACGATAAGCTAAAACAAAAAGGCTCGAATTTTGAGACAAAGAAAGGAAAATCCAACTGTTTCATAGTATTTTGGTTTCCTAGACACGATTTCGCCCAACGTCACCTCCACCACCGCCTGCAGCTTAATTGATTTTCTTCCACCGCAAGAAAACGCACCACAAAACTGCGCCAAAATCTACCCCTTAAAGTGACAAAAAAGTAAAGCGAAACAAGCGAGAAGAAAAAATCTTTTGATTGGATCCTTGGATCTTGGTTTGGTGCCAACGACAACGATGACGGCAGCCTCTTGGCATGGACGGAAATTAAAGATTATTATCGTGGTGTTGTGCCCACTGTCTAACCAGCTTCTCGGTGACATCATGTTACTTAACTCAGCTGAACGTTGAATTCGATAATGGTAAAGTGGAACAGCAGCTAGGCAAAAATAGGATTTTTAAGATATGTCTATTTTTTCTGAGAAAACCAAACCGAAGGAAAAATGTTGTTTTTTTTTATGTAATGAACGCTGCATGGTATGGAAACGTATTGCACGTTTATTTACTTACGGTTGCGTCAAAGCTCGAGAACGGTTGATGATCTTTAAGGTGATACGGAACAGAGTCTAAAAATGGCGATCTTGGTAGCTGACTTGCAGTATTGCTTCCAATTTTCTGGAGCACAAATCCTTAGCAGCTATTTTTACTACAGGGGATAATTTTATGCGCTAGGTCGCATTCAAGTCCGATATTTGTGCTCTATAACATTACAAGTGGCAGTGACAGTGTCAGTCATCTAGACAGACATTTTTAACTCTTTGTCGTATCACATTAACAAATACCAAAAGTATGTTTCGTAATTAATTAACAACAACAGTATTAACGAAAGCAGTTGTTGAGGGCTCTTAAACACGCCTTTCTCCCATTGCTAGTTTTTTTTTAATAATTAAACAGAATCGCCCATCCTTTAGAAATATTTCACAACGGTGAAAAATTACCCGAAATTCTTTCAAATTCGTTGAAAAGATCAGTGTTAACGAAAGTTTCTGATAGGGCACAGCAATAAGAGCACTCTTTAAACCAATTTATATTTTTAAACCGACGTTAAAATACGGAAACTGCCAACCGTGAAGTGTTGCCGGAACGAAATAAATTAAGCTATCGTCACATCTCAATCTGGTGTGGTAGTGCTCTTTTTCCAAACCTACACGGCCGCAGATAGTAACTCAGAATTGAGTAAAATTCTACTGAAAATTGCAAAAAAGGGTTACTGGAATGAGTAAAATGTTCCTCGATTTTCTTGAAAAATCGGCTTGAATATAAGAAAAATCGATTACCCAGTTTATTCAGACTGAGTAAAATATTAATCGATTTCTGAGGAAAATTATGTAAAATTTTCACTGAGCAACCCCACTTTTTACAATATTGAGTCATATTCTACTCAATTCTGAGCTACTCTCATCGACCGTGTATGAGCTGTATCAGGTACGCGGTGGCAGTGGTGGCGCTAGGCAAAGGCAACAACGAAATGCGAGCCAAAAAATAAAAACCCACTCACCATGCACGCTTCGAATCCTTAATCCGATTATGTTCTCAACGCATGTGTTCCGAAAAAATATATATATATTGAAGAGTATACTCACACGCACACTTGAATCCGGAGGAGGAAAATAAACGTGTCAGAGAAAATTATAAAGCTCGTCCTGAGTGTGAGGTTCATCGAAACGAGGGCAAGCGGAAAATAAAGAACCCATAATAATAAGATTTTATATTTCCCGATGATGGTTGAAAATGTTCGTTGTTTATAATTGAGATAATAAATGCTCTGTTTTTGTTTGATTTTGATCCGTTTGTTTTGCACGGTCCCGGCCTCGTGTGTATGTGTGTGCGTCCGTGGAGAAGAGGGCCCGGTGAGTAAATCCCTCGCAAGTTAAGTTAATATGAACAAAGCAAAAAAAAAAATACCAGATATTTTAAAACAATAAAAAAGTACATTATAGGACTAAGACAAAACTGGAAACTATTTCAATTGTGGCTGACATTCTAGAGAAGGAAATTTTTTACATAAGATAGTAACAGTCGAGAGAGGTGTAAGCTTGTAGGAATATGAAAACTAAAACAATTTTGAATCGGAAAATCTATCTCAGTAAACGTTTTGCAGTTTTGCAGTTTCAGGAAGTTCCTTCCTAGCTGGAAGAATGAAGAATGGAGATGAGACGTTCATGGAAGAAAGGAGGGAAAGAGTCAAATTTGTGCCAATACTATTTTTAACTGACGAAGTTAAAGCCAATCCGAAAGGATTTTATTTTCATGAACTATTCTTTAGACAGCCAGCAACTAATTATAAATTGAAACAACTATTATGGGTGGACAAATGAATGCGTGCACAGCCGTTGGGAAAAGGGATTTTTTGTTATAGTCATTTTAACGCTCTTGGGAACTCGTGACTTTGGCGTGAGAGGTATGGATGCTAACCACTAAGCCGGGGTTACCCCTAAAGGGATATTTTCAAAATGGTGGAATATGGTAAATTTAGATTTTTTTTCTGATTTTATGGGTCTTTTTATGCATGAATGATCAATAGTACTTTCAGTTCAGTTCATTTATTTGCAAATAATGGTTAAACTCGGCTCAAAAATGCGATAATGACATTAAAAGTACGCATTGACGTGTTTCTTGGCAACAACTGAACCGAATTGAGTGCAACAACCTCCAAATGAAAGGTTCTATTGCATATTTTAGGAAACAGTCATCTGGTTCCGGAGATACGGACAGGACAAAATAAAAAAAACGCATTTGAGGAATAAGTCGGTGTTTCTCGGCAACCACTGTACCGAATTGGTCGCAGCAAATATCAGTTGAAATGTACTATGGTCCCATACAAAATTAATGCATATTTTTTGGAATTGACAACCGGTTCCGCAACATGGACATGATCCCGATTTTATGGGCCATGAGATTAAATCCGAATAAAATCTATCATGCGACATCTCAAACCACATGAGAATTCACAGTAGACACATCTTTACATGTTCCACACAGATAAAAATTCTGAATTTTAATAGTGATGAATATTTACATCATTCACGTAAACTTGTATTTCATTTCACGCAACCGCGCAACTTGTAAATAATGTTGTTTACAACAATGGGCTTTTGCATACAACATTTGCTACATTGCATGAAATGTCTCAGAACTTTACATGATATATAATGTAAAGTTACATGATATGGGACGCTCCATTTATGTGCATCATACTGAACAGAAATTTACACTACTTTTTCGAACTGTGCAGCTACACATGAAATCAATACGAAACTCTTAGATTGCCCACACAAACTAACACCACCATGATTAGGGAAACTTCACTCTACCTGTAGATGGTGTTAGTTTGTGTGGTTGAGGTAAGAGTTTCAACAAATTAACGTTCGAGTCTCTGTTTACAAAAGTAGATACGTCTATTTAAAAAAAAAACGCTCTTTTATTAGCGCTTCTACACATATCCACACTTAACTGCACAATGAGGAACTACAAGTCAGTTCCAGTAATTAAAAAAAGGCGATATCATCAAGAAATACCAGAGATCTTCAAAGAAAATTCGACCCTTTTCGAAAATTTTATGATATTCAGCCAAGTCCCAAGTACATCGAGGACGATCAGATAGCTTCAGAGCAATTCCACTAAATTATGAAAATTTGCAGAGACTAACAAAAAGTTCCGTGAAATTATGGGATATTCCAAGAATTCTATTAATGATCCGAAAACATCATAAGCGTCAGGGAATTATGAATATTTAGGGAACCTCAGAGAAGTATAGAAAACTTCAGGGGTATCCAGACAAGTTCAGGTAAAATGAGTGATTTCAGGCAAAGCTCTGAACTTCAGTACAATTGCAGGTACTTATAAAAATACTGAGAAACTCCGGACTGTCTAAAGAATTTTATGGAAATTCAGAAAGTTTTTGGACAGTTTTAGTAACATCAGGAAAGTCTGTAAAATTGGAAAATTTATAGATCAGTGTCGATAATTTAAGGCCAGTTTCATAAGCTTCGGGAAAATCTCAAGCACTGCAGTGAAGCTATTTCATTATTGTTTTATTTTCGGAAACAGAAGGGAATCTAATGGAGGCCAAGTCTCAAGTACACACGCCACACAGTTCAACTTATGAGCACACTTAACAGTTCACTTTATGTGCACATATAAAAATTAGGTAGCTAATTAATAATCGATTCCAAAAGGAAGCTCAATTATTTCCAAAAAGTCACATGAGACTGTTATGCATTTATGGTGAGTAAAGACAGAAGTTCAGAGATCTTCAGAAAAACTTTTAGAACTTCATACAAGTCCATGGTACTTTAGGGAAGATCCGAGAACTCCACGAATGTTTCATGAACAGTAGGAAAATGTGGGAACATTTCAAAGAAGTTTCGAATTTTTAACAAGATCCCAAATTTTAAAAGGCACATAAGTTCAGTAAACTTCATGAAAGCTTAGAAATTACTGGTTTATTAAATTCCTGACAGTACAACAAACTTTACGAGAACCGGAAAAACGTTCGAGAGGTGTCTACAACTTCAGGAAAGAACAGAGAACTTCAGGAAAGTTCCATAAACTTTAAAGAAATAATATAAATTTTAAAAATGTTTTGAGAACTTCAGCAAATTGTTAAAACATCGGGAGCACCCTAGAAATCAAGAAAAATGCGACAGCTTCACTGCCGTGAGCTAAGAAAGTGACGTAAGCGCCACCATATTCAGTTTTAACTTTTCGCCATATCCGATTTCTGCATCATTGATGACACCCAAATAAAGTTAACACTTGCACGAAAAATGATTTTGAAGCAATGTGGCAATGGCATGTTAGCCATACATTTTCGGAGGGTCAGTGAAAAAATGTCACTGTTGATAACAATTAAGGGACGTCCACCATACACAAGTACATCAATATTTATATTTTAAGCAGTCCAGTATAAAATTTTACAATTTTCGCAATCATTCGGCTTAGTAAAAGCATCCGTTTTTTGAACGATTCAGTCACATTATAATCTCATTGAAATTCAAAGAAGATCCACGACCGGTCGCAAAACAAAGATAGGGGAAATGTATGTAATTTAGACCTCAGTGTCCCTAATTTGGACCCATTCATAAATTCAGTAATCGACTAAATTTTCAATAGCGACCAAAAATATCCTACCGTCCCAATGACGCGTTCATCTAGATAAAATTGATAAATAGCAGATTTTTAGCGATGGGCTCAATCTGAGGTTCATAGGCCAACATTAGAGCCATTTCCCCTTCTTTGGAAAAGTCCAAAAAAGTTCAGAAAAATTAAAAAAAAATCAAGAGAAGCATTCTCAGCATCAGGCTGGTTTCTCAAACATCAAATGAACTTCGAGTAGTTTTGAAGACGTCAGAGTAGTCTAGGAGATTTGTGCTGAAAATTAACCTGGAGTTCTCCTCAGCATTCACTTTGTATTCGCCCGAAGTTCCAATAGAATTATCTTAGAAAATCCATAAATTTTCTGAAATTCTCCGCAGAATTTGCTTGTTTGAATTCTCTAAAATATCACCGGAATATCTTCAAAATACTTTTCCGGATTCCTTTGAAATATTCCTCAATACGTTGGAACCAGTGCTGATAAAGTCACTTCTTAGCTGAAAATGAAGACAACCTTAACAGATGGACCAACTAACTGCACGAATTTGAATTTTGACATGGGTCCAATGGGTCTGGGTTCAATCCAAGCCGAGGTCGGTGGAATTTTTCTGAGGCATAAAAATCTCTGGTCACGTCTTCCTTCGGAAGGGAAGTAAAGCCGTTGGTCCCGGCCGATTTGTGTTTGAATGGGTGCGATATCCTACGCAGGTGTGGAAGCTGCCTTCCTGCACATTCGATTGCCGTCAATGGATGGCAATCGATGTCCGTCGGTGATTGGCACTATATTGCGGAACAGAGATCGACGTTAAAATAAAGGAAGAACATTCTCTTGATCAAGGCAACCTCTGAGTATTGAAGTCAACATTTTTTGTCTTCATTCGTGGCTGGATGTTCATTATCGGCTCTGTTGTTGTCAATATTAATATTCGTCTTCATCTTGGTCTTGATAGAGCTGGAATTAGGGCGTAACAGCTTTTGTAAACAATGACTTCTCTCGATGATTTCTCGAAACTCAAGGCACGCCCACACAAACCAACATAACCAGCGGGAAGGGGAAGTCTTCTCCTACACGATGGTGACGTTGATTTGAGTGGGCGAGCCTCGGCTTTCTTGAAATCATCGAGAGAAGTCATTGTTTACAAAAGCTGTTACGCCCTAATTCCAGCTCTATCTAGATTTTGTCCAAAATGAAGTTGATCATTTTGCTTTTGAAGATCGCTTCCGATTTTGACAAATTTGGGCTGGATTATCAAGCAGCGGCGAATATCAACAAACTGTGCACTGGTTGGAAGGGTTAAAATATACTGCAAATCAAACAAATTATCACTGATTTCGGCAAAATTTTACTCAAATCTCAATTGTTAATATTCAGACCGCTTGATTATGGAACTAATAACATAATCAAAAAATATGGTAAAATATGAGAATTTTCATAAAATTTTATGAATTTAATGAGTGATGCCAACTGGAGACCATACAGTAAAACAAAAGTAAATTTATTTCAGAAGACAAGACACGTCTATTGTTTATTGACGATTGAAAATCGATTGTGCAACAATTTGACTGAAACATTCCAGTTCCCTTTTGTGTATAAGGCTTGTGCATGCGAGAATAAAAAGACATTTCACCAATATGGAAAAAAAATCATTTTCAGCAAACCAAAGATTACAGTGCTGAATATCTTCACACATTGATGATGATGCGAAGCTATTTCACAACACCCTAAACAGATAACATAGCCAAAGAATTTGCTGTGCTGCTCCATAGAAACCATTCTTTCCAAACAGATAATCATTCCTGAAACGATAACTTTCCTACAGTCATAACATACAAACAAAAAATGCATCTCTAGCAGTAGCGAGATCAGAATTATCTCTATGCGAACCAGAATGGAGCCATGGAAGGTGCGCTCCTGTGGAAATTTCATTCACCTTCCATCGCTCCATTTCGGTTCGGCTTATCCCTACGTCTTGTATAGAATTCCAAACTCTACGACAGCTGTAGAATAGATTATATAAAAATAGAAACATAGAACGCAGACAAGCGCCAAAAAACAGACAGAACAATAAACTTCAACGGATCACCGTGCTCCAATCTTCCATTCGTATCTTTAGCTGATAGACTAATTCTTTCAATCTTTATTAGAACAGACATAGCGCAAAGAAGAATAATCCTAAACCGTTAGCCAAAACAA